CCTCAGCTGAAATGGCAGCAAACATAGCTCCCTCTGCCCCTCAGGCTCACCCCTGGCTCCCCACACACCACCGGGACCCCCGTTATGGGTTCAAAGAGCTGCTATGGCGACTCTGTGCAGCCGGGCTCAGGGCCATGTGTCTCTCCACTGACCCAGGAGCTGGCAGCCCTCCTGCCTGCAGCCTGGTGGCACTGAGCCCTGTGGGGCCAAGGATCACCCCACACCCAGTACAAAATCCACACCGGGCAAGCACCCATCCTGCAGAGAAAGAGCTGCTCGTTCCCAAATAATCTTGACTGCTGGCTTCTGGGCTTCTGGCACTTTCATCCATGCTCAGCTCTTACCCCTTGTCACCTTCCCCTCTTATTTATAGCCTGGCAAGGGAGCAAGACCAGCTGCTGTCCCCACGTCCTGCAGCCGCAAGAGGCAGAGCACAGGGTACCACTGAGTTAAAAACACTTTTAATGGCCTCGTTTGCTTTGGTCTGAATCCAAGGACACTTGTGACAAGGCAACTCGTAGGCCCCAGGGCACACATGGCCCCTGAGGGGCACAGAGGCAGCCAGATCCAAGGGACCTGCCCAGAGGCAGCAGAACTGGGAGGGCCCAGTCCCAGCTCCCCACATCCCACACCCAGTGTCAGGACAGGAATTGAGCAGGGCTTCATCCCTGGGAGAGGCATGGGCTCATGGCCCTGGCAGGGCTGAGCTCTCCCGCCCCATGTCACGCTGGAGCCCAGCAGCGTGAATGATTAATCCTGCATTAAATATTCATTCCAGTAGAGGTGGCAGAAAGTATTTGTGGTTGCCCTGGGTCCACCCCAGTAGGCACTCGGAGCCAATGGGGCTGACTCCATGGGTTCAGCTCATGCCCACAGTGCACCAAGGCTGGGAGCTCCAGCCAGCCCACCAGCTAAGGGAACCGGCCCTGCCACTGCAGAGATGGAGACTCCTCGGCTCCAGGGCTTGGAAAATAATTTCAACCGTAGTACTGGCAGAGACAAGATGTCATCACAGGATGAGAGCTGCCCTCACGCCGAGGTCCATGCTGCCTCACCCCACAGCTGGCGCCCTACCCGCCTGCCCAGGATGGGTGGGTGAAGATGATGTTCTTCCTCTTGGCCCAGCGGGAGAAGATGGCTTTCTCAGTGATGAAGCGGTGCCCTGCACGGTGGGCTCGCTCATGCACCAGGTACATCTTGCACTCGTCCAGCCGACCCTTCTCAAAGTAGTGGTACGGCACACTCGAGTGGTTCTTCTCCCTGGTGGGAGAGGACAGGCGGGGCATGAGCCACGGGGGGACACGGGACCACCTTGTGCCCATCTCTGTCGTGCCCTGCGCACCTGCAGTAGCTGTCGCTGACCATGCCAAAGACGTAGATCTGCTCGCACAGCTCCATGGCCAGGATCATAGTGAACCAGCCCGTGCTCAGGAAGGAGCCGGACTTCAGCCTGAAAAGCACCATGGCCGTGCTGGAGCGGGTGGCACCGTGCTGCCGTCCCAGCTGGGCTATGGGCACCCAACGGGGGGGACAGG